GTCAGCCTCTCTGCTCCTATGATGCTGCTTGGCCTGCTGTGTTCATCCAGCCCTGCACCTTGTTGTCTCGGATTCTCCAGCATCTGCAGTTCCCACTATCTCTAAACTCTTTGTGTCAGATTCTGATGGAATGTCTATACAATGAAGGGGGCTCAGAAGCTTCTGGAAATGTGACCATGTGATCATCCTTGGCCATTTTTTGAGTCCATCAAGATTATCCATATTTGAATATAAAACAGAAGTTAAATATGGCAATATAGAAGGAAACACAATTTCCTTTCAGAGACAGTGGGAACTGCCGATGCTGGAGAATCTGAGATAACAAGATGTGGAGCTGGATGAACACAGCAGGCCAGGCAGCATCAGAGGATCAGGAAAGCTGACGTTTCGGGTCTGGACCCTTCTTCAGAAAATTTCCTTTGGGCTGTTTCTTCATGCCACCTGGCCTTGACATTTTTCTCATGTGGTGGGCCCTCTCTAATCAGTCAAAACGCAAATGAAGAAGTCAGTAGTCGCCCTTAATTGAACATTCGAGTGGTTGAATTGGGTGGCCTTGCTGCTAGTAATATCCCATGGCAGCGAGAAGGTATCTACTCCCAACATCTTCCCTTGCCATAGTAACAGTCCTCCCCATTATTGGGCTTGGCAAAAATTGGTCCCTAGTAATTTCCTAAAACAGATTTGAAAATAATACATATTGGTAAGTCATAGACGAGAAGATATGCATCATCTATGTGTCTAGGACATTTGCTAGCTAATGTGAGTATGTGAACATCTGGCAGTAAGAATCCTTGTGCTACCAATGTATTGGGTGCCTTATTCTTGCCACAATTAATGGATGACCCTTCCAGCACTTGAAGATTTTCATATTACATAGCACCATGAAAGAAAATAAGCCTGCCTTTGTGTTTATAAAAATCACAATTTCGTACTATTAGCTTTATTCTCTCACTTAAACAGCACATCAAATTCACAGTGAAAAGCAATGGCATCTTGCTGCAAGTTCAGCTAGAAAGATGTCCCATGTCTGTGTACTTAACTTAGCATTATCATTCTTTCTTGCCTGTTCCCAGTTTAGGCCACAGGAGATTCTGTTGATGCATTATCACCACCATGCATGTTGTTTTCATCATCATCCTCAATTCAAGGGTAGTTCCATTCTCTCCAGACCTGAAAGCTGGATGAAGGGATTTTACCCTCATTTTTTTTCTTCTTATCAGGTTAAAAGCTGGTGCCAACAGAATCCTGACAAACCAGCATTCTTTGCCGAGTACTGGAATAGCCGTAATACATAATTTAACTTATACTAATATGAGGATGCAAAGTTGGTTTGTTGTCTCCGAAGCTATACTTAGTTGATGCAGAATGATGACTGTGACTCTAACATTTCCCATATATCTTTAGCCTTGCGCAATAGTTATACATTTGTCCCTCTTGTCAAGGTAGGAGTAATGAAGTGTAACAGGTCAGAGAGTCTATAAGAAAATTAACTCAAAGACCCTATCCTTTCATGAGGATAACAAAATAAATGTAAAGTAAATAAATTTAAAATATTCTTACATATAGGTCCAAGCTCCATAATGTTATCAAATGCACAGGAGGGAGTGGTGCCAAGTGTTGCACAAAGCTGGTGTATATAAAGAGATAAACAAGAAAGAAGATTAGCTGACTGCATCATTCATTCCCTTTCTGTTTAGACAATTAGCAGCAAAGGTTTTCACGTTCAGCTACCATTCGGCAATATTGAAGATTTTATACTTCTGATAACCTTCGAAATCTGGGTTGATTATTTTCCAATGTTGTGCTTCTTAAGAAGAAAAGAACATAGGAACATAGGCCATTCAAACTCTCAAGCCTGTTCCACCATTCAATGAGATCATGGCTGATCTGTGGCCTGACTCCATATACCTGCCTTTGGCCCATATCCCTTAATGCCTTTAACTTAAACATTTATCTACCTCAGATTTAAAATTAACACTGCTCCTGCATCCATTGTCATTCATGGAAGAGAGTTCCAAACATCTACCACCCTTTGTGTGTAGAAGTGCTTCCTAACATCTTTCTTGAATGGTCTCGCCCTAATTCTCAGACTATTTCTAGTTCTAGAATCCCCAACCATTGGAAATAGTTAATCTTTATTGACCCTGTATTTTCCTGTCAATATCTTGATGGCTTTTTGATCAGATCACCCCTTAACTTTCAAAATTCTAGAGGAAACAGGCCTAACTTGTATAATCTCTCCTCACAACTTAGCCCCTGAAGTCCAGATATTGTTCTTGTAAACCTATGGTGTACTCCCTTCAAGGCCAATATATCTTTCCTAAGGTGTGGTGCTCAGATCTGCTTACAGTACTCCAAGTGGGGTCTAACCAGGGTTTTGTAAACTGCAGCAAAACTTCTGCATCCTTGTACTCCATTCCTCTAGATGTAAAGGCCAGCATTCCATTTCTTGATTGTTTTCTACATCTGAGGAAAAGTAATTATTCAACATGTCTGCCATTTCCCCACAGTCATTACCAATATCCCTACTTTCAGGCTTTCATTGGCCAACACTGTCTGTGACAATTTGCTCTCCTTTATGTAACTTTAAAATTTCTTCTTATTGATTTTGATGTCCCTGGCACATTTATTTTCATAGCTCCTGTAAGCTGCTTTGCTGGTCTTTGCATCTTTCCCATTCAGCAGGCTCTGTGCTGTTTTTCTTTGCATTTTTGAAAGCCCTTTCTTTTAGATTTATGCTGTCCCTTATCTCTTTCGTTGTCCATGGCTGTTTTTTCCGTGAAGTGGAGCTTTCACTCTCAGGAGAGTAACTTGGTTTTGTATTGTTTTAAATGTTTCTTTAAATATCTTCCACTATTCTTCAATTGTTTTATTACCAATAGCAGATTTTCCCAGTTTACTATGGACAGTCTCTATCTCATCTTATTAAAGTCAGCTTTGCACTGGAGATTTCTCCAGCTGGGTGCAAAGTTTCAAATTTCACACTAAAATGAGAGAACACTGTTCCTAAATTGCTTTCAAGGATCAAATTCCAAAGTTATGTTCAAGTGTAACAGACTGAGTGGCAACTTATAACATGATCAGGTATTGGATATATTCATGTGGAAATAGGAATTTTACTGTTTATTAGTGGTGATCAATAGGTGCAAAAATACCACAGGCGATTTGGTGATGGAAAAAAAAAATTCAATTCCGCATAATAGTTGGTTTGGAAATTTTTAAAAAGTGAAGAATTTCACTGGGGTTCTCATGGTTCAGGTATCGTGTCACAATTTCTGTCCAAATATTGTGAGCAATTTTGGTCCCCATATCTAAAGAATGTTGTGTTGGCCTCGGAGGGGGTCCAGAGGAGGTTCACAAGTATAATCCCGGGGATGAAGGGTTTGTTACATGAGGAGCAATTGAGGACTCTGGGCTTTTAGAAGGATGAGGAGAAGAAGTCACTGAAAGAAGCCTGGACAGAGTTGACATGGAGAAGATGTTTCCACCAGCAGGACAGACTAGGGCACAGCCTCAGAATGAAAGTACAACCCTTTAGAATTGAGATGAGGAGGAATTTCTTCAGCCTGAGGGTTGTGAATCTGTGGAGCTCATTGCCACAGAGGGCAGTGGAGGTTAAGTCATTGCGTGTATTTAAGGCAAAAACAGATAGATTCTTGATTAGTAAGGGGACCAAGGATTACAGGGAGAAGGCAGGAGAATGGGGTTGAGAAATATATCGGCCTTGATCGAATTGTGGAGTAGACTCAATGGGCCAAATGGCCCAATTCTGCTCCTACATCTCTGAGCATGGAGACCTGGTTCAAGTCCCACCTGTTACAGAGATGTTTAATAACATCCTGCTCAGGTTGATGGTGGAAATAAAATGGGGTTGAGATCACAACCTGCTGGGGAGGAAGAGGAGCTGGTTGCTGCTGTTTGGAGAATGAAGAGTGGGACCTACTGCATGAAATGAAGCCTGAGGCTACAGCTCATAGTGGAGTGAGAGAAAGGGAGAGTGTGAGAGAGACAGACAGAAAGAAAGGGAGAGAGAGAGTGAGGAGCCTGGAGAGAGGACCCTGAAGGCTGAAACTTGGAAACATGGACCTATGCTGCTGCCTGAGGCCCTCGGCCTATTCTGAAACCCGACTTCTCTTTCAGTCCAAATGGGTGGTGAACCTGGCCTTGGAGAAGGGGCTCACTGTAGGCAACTTATAAATCTTATTCTGTTATATTTCTTTTGTAAATCTATAATAGTGAGTAGGGTGATGTTTTTCTTAATGTTTTACTGAGATCTGTCTCTTGATTATTTTTTTAAAAATATAAGGCATTGGTATTAAGTTATCCTAGAGCAGTGTTTTTAGAGCAGTAAGACTGTACCATTTTCTGGGTTTGTAGATTGTTAAGGTACAGAGATAGCCCTTTAGTAGAATTATGTGCTCTTCCTGTTAGATGTGGGAGACTAAGGAGAATTTCAATGTTCCTGATGATTATGTCTGCAGGAAGTGTGTCTGGTTGTGAATCCTATCGAACCACACAAATTGCTTGGAGCAGCAGTTAGAGGCAATGAGGAACTTACAGGAGGCAGGGGGTGTGATGGGTGGCAGTTTCAGGAAGGTAGGAAAACTGCAGATACAGTCAGGTAGACGGGTTACGTCTAGGAAAGGTAGGAGGGGTAGGCAGGTAGTGCAGGAGTCTCCTGTGGCTATCCCAATCTCAAACAAGTCTACTGTTTTGGAAAATGTTGGGGGTGATGGTCTGTCGGGGGAATGTAGCACTGACAGCCAAGTTTCTGGTACCGAGACTCGGTCTATTGTAATGAACGACATGTCAGGTTCCAAGTGATTGATTGTGCTAGTCAGGGGCACAGATAGACATTTCTATGGTTGACAGTGAGATATCAAAATGATGTCAGAGATTCAGAGATAGTCAGAACTGCCGATGTTGGAGTCAGAGATAACACAGTGTGGAGCTGGAGGAACACGGCAGGCCAGGCAGCATCAGAGGAGCAGGAAAGCTGACATCTCGGGTCGGGACCCTTCTTCAGAAATGGGGGTGAGGGAAGGGAGTTGGTAAATAAATAGAGAAAGTAGGGATGGGGCTGGGGAAGGTAGGTGGGATGGTGAGAGGTGAGTGCAGCTAGGCAGTGGTGGGGGATTGGTCAGTGAGGTGAGAGGATCAGATAGGTAGGAGAGAGAATGGACAGGTTGTGTCAGATCAAGGAGGCAGGGATGAGAGGGAGGGTTGGTCATGGGATGAGGCCACAGGTGGGGAGATTTCGAAACTGGTAAAGTCCACATTGAGACCATTGGGTTGTAGGCTCCCAAGGCTCCTCCAGTTTCCAGGCGGCGTCATTGTGACACTGGAGGAGGCCCAGGATGGACACGTCACCCAGGTCATGGGAGGGGTGAGTTGAAAAAGGTTCGCGACTGGAAGATGTTGTCGTTTGTTGCGAACAGAGAGCAGGTCCTCTACAAAGTGGTCTCCGAGCCTCTGCTTGGTCTCACCAATGTAGAGGAGGCCACATCGGGAGCAGCGGATACAATAGACCACATTAGCAGATGTGCAGGTGAACCTCTGTCTGATGTGAAATTTTTTTTGGTTCCTTGGATGGAGGTGAGGGGGGAGGTATAGGAGCAGGTGTAGCACTTCCTGCGGTTGCAGGGAAAGGTGCCGGGGCTGGTGGGGCTCGTGGGGAGTGTGGTGCGGACGAGGGAGTCATGGAGAGAGTCCCTACAGAAGGCAGATAGGGGTGGGGAGGGAAATATATCCTTGGATGTGGGGTCAGATTGTAGGTGGCAGAAGTGGCGGAGAATGATGTATTGAATCCGGTGGTTAGTGGGGTGATACGTGAGGAGAAGGGGGATTCTGTCTTCGTTTTTGTTGCGGGGAGGGGAGGGGCTGTAAGGGCAGAGGAGCGGGAAACGTAAGAGATGTGGTCGAGAGCATTTTCGACCACTGAAGGGGGTAAGTTGCGGTCCTTGAAATAAGAGGACATCTGGGATGTTTGGGAGTGGAATGCCCCATCTTGGGAGCAGATGCAGCAGAGGCGGAGGAATTGGAAGTAGGGGATCACATTCTTGCAGGAAGGTGGGTGAAAGGAGATGGAGTCTAGGTAGCTGTGGGAGTCGGTAGGCTTGAAATAGGTATCGGTTTCGAGGCGGTCACAAAATATGGAATCAGAGAGGTCCAGGAAGGAGAAGAGGTATCAGAGATGGTCCAGGTGAACTTGAGGTTGGGGTGAAAGGTGTTAGTAAAGTGGATGAACTGTTTGAGCTCCTCATGGGAGCATGAGGCGGTGCCGATACAGTCATCGATATAACAGAGGAAGAGGTGGGGGATGGGGCCTGTGTAGCTGCGGAAGAGGGACTGTTCCACGTATCCTACAAAGAGGCAGGCATAGCTTTTCTGCTCCGCTGATGCTGCTGGCCCGCTGTGCTCCTCCAGCTCCACACTGTGTTATATCAGAATGATGTGTTGCCTCCCTGGTGCCAGGGTCAAGGATGTCTTGAAGAGGGTGCATAATATTCTCAAGGGGGAGAGTGACCAGCAGGAGATTGTTGTACACACTGGTACCAACAACATAGGAAAAGGACGAGGTTCTGAGGACAGAATATAGGAAATTAGGCAGGTGGTTAAAAAGTATGT